TGCTTGTGAGACATTGGACACCCCTCATCCCTCTGTGTCGCCTTGTGAATTTGAATTTTAAAATCTAGACGTTTGTGGTTGAAACAGAATAAAATATGGAGAAAAGCTGAATCAAAATCAACAGTGAACCTCAGAGAAGGGAAAGGACCCCCCCCCATCACTGAATTGCAGTCCTACCCTGTGGAGGTTAATGGTAGATATCAGTAACTAGCGCTGGACAGTGCTAACAGCTGTACTGCTAACTGATGTTACTGGACTAATAACCCAGAGAATAAGAGTTCAATTCCCAGTCTGGGAATCTGAGATCAGTTTGAAAAATTGGGAAACAAAAAGCTGGGACCTGTAAAAGTGACCAAGAAACTTTTGGATCATCACAACTATTCCAACTGATTGATTTATGTCCCTCTGTAAGGGGTGGGGGAGTGCAGTTACCTGCTCTGGGCCTGGCTGTAACCACATGTGGTTAGAAACATTGAAGGCAGGAGCAGGAGCAGGCCATTTGGCCCCTCAAGCCCACTCTACCATTCGTTATGATCATGGCTGATCATTGAGCTCAGTACCTTAATCGCAGCACCCCACGTATTCCTTGATCCCTTCAGTCAATCCCTTCAGTTAATGTTCTTTGAAATGGTCTAGGAAGTTCCTCACTTGTATAACAATTCTAAATTAAGATAAAAGATCTGCAGCGCATGGAAGGAAGTTGGATTTCAGGATTATCAGATCAGCCGTGATCCCATTGAATGATGGAGCAGACTTGATGGGCTGAATGGCTTAATTCTGCTCCAAGGGCTTATGGTCCTACAGCATTGGTTGAAGATGATGAGCTGCCTGCTCAGTCCAAAGGGATGGCCGTCAATTCCAGCCTTTTGCCGCTGAGGCCTACGTCCCATAAAATGATTTTCCAAAGAAAAGGTTAAAATTCTCTCGGAATTTCCTGGCCTCAGGAGTTTACATGTTGACTGTCCAGTTTGGCTACTCACAGGAGATTCACACGCTGACACCAGAGGCTGCAGATTGTCTCTGTGCCAGTAGGCCCGTTACTATGGTTACCTGTGATATTTCTCTTGTTCCTTCTGTTAAACTTGACCCTCTTTTCACGCTCGGCATTTACCCCCCCCCCCAGGGAGCAGCGAGACCGGGCGCTAGGACACAGGAAGCGAGGCCCCAAACCGAAGCGGTATCTGTTGCAGGTAAAGTTTGGTGTCCAGGTGATGCCCTGCAAAAAAAAATCCACCCATTTCGTCTTCCCCTCCCACCCTACAGCGCCCTGCCCCACCTTGTAGGTACAGCCCCTCACAGTAAGGCCCTCACACTGAGGCCCACAGGTCAGAGAAGGCCAAAGGGCCGGGCCCGAGCCTGGTGTTCATGGAGTCTTGGTTTCTCCTGGGTTGGGTGGTGCGTTTGGATGTAGGGCAAGGGCAGGATCGGGTCCAATAGTGATGCCTACCGTAGCGCATAGCCCCTGGGGAAAAGGTGACACAATGATAATGCCATTGGATTAGTAACGTAGATGGACTGATGGTCTGGGGTCATGGGTTCAAAACCGAATCCCCTCAATAGCAGCTGGTGGAAATGATTATTGTATCTAAGTTATATACAAATAATTAGAATGCCTACAGTGTGGAAGCAGGCCATTTGGTCTATAGTAACCCTCCAAAGAGCGTCCCACCCAGACCCAACCCCTACCCTATCCCTGTAACCCTGCATTTCCCATGGCCAATCCATGCTAACCTGCACATCTTTGGACTGTGGGAGGAAACCGACACAGACACAGGGAGAATGTGCAAACTCCACACAGACAGTTGCCCAAGGGTGGAATCGAACTCGGGTCCCTGGTGCTGTGAGGCAGCAGTGCTAACCACTGAGCCACCCCTAATTGTATGCAAATAAACCTGGAACTGAAAGTTGGTTTCGGTAATGGTGTGCAGGAAATTACCATCGAGTGTTACCAAAAACCACCCTCATTCAGCTGCTGTCCTTAAACCTGGTTCTGGCCTACATGTGACTCCAGACCCTTCGTTAAATGGCCTGAGCGAGCTGTTCAGTTCAGGGGCAATTAGGGACGGGCAACAAATGCTGGCCCAGCCAGAGACACCCGGACTCCACGAAAGAATAAAGAAAGAAAAGACTGTCTCATGTGGTTTGACCGTTACCCAGCCTCGGTGGCACAGTCTAAGGGGATTGTACATTCTCTCCAGTTTACAAAATGAACATGGATAGTATCACAGTTTTCGTGATGATTAAAGGATATAACGTCAAACTGAGAGGTAACGCCAGAAATTGCTTCCTCCCATTGCAGTGTGGGAACGCAGAACTGAGCAGCACGGTGGCTCAGTGGTTAGCACTGCTGCCTCACAGCACCAGGGACCCGAGTTCGTTTCCACCCTCGGGCGACTGTCTGTGTGGAGTTTGCACATTCTCCCTGTGTCTGCGTGGATTTCCGCTGGGTGCTCCGGTTTCCTCCCACAGTCCAGGTTAGGGTGGATTGGCCATGGGGAATGCAGGGTTACAGGAATGGGGATGCATCTGGGTAGGGTGCTGTTTGGAGGGCCAGTGTAGACTTGGGATGAATGGCCTGCCTCCACACTGTAGGGATTCTATGATTTCTTCTCTACAACCCCACCCTTCTCAAATAAAAACCACTCATTGAGGCTGCTGGGAGTGGGGAGGTTGGGGTGAGTCTATTGAGAATGTTTCAAACCAAGATTTAAAGATTTTAATCTCAGGATGTTTCACAGTTGCAGAACCATCAAGATGCTGATCATACCTTGATCTAGTTAAATGCTGGAACAGGTTCAAGGGGCTGAATGGCCACCTCCTGTTCAAATCTTCCTTTTTAAAAATTCATTCATGGGATGAGGGTGCTGCTGTCTGGGTCAGCGCTTATTGCCCATCCCTAATTGCCCACAGGGCGGTTCAGAGTCAACGTTGTTGTGGGTCTGGAGTCACATGTAGGCCAGACCAGGTAAGGATGGCAGTTTCCTTTCCTAAAGAGCATTAGTGAACCAGATGGGTTTTTCCGACAATGGATTCATGGTCATCATTAGATTCTTAATTCCAGATATTTATTGAATTCAAATTCCACCATCTGCCGTGGTGGGATACGAACCCAGGTCCCCAGAACATTACCCAGGTCTCTGGAATAACAGGCCAGCAATAATACCACTAGGCCGTCGCCTCCCATAATCTAAGAATCAACAGTTCATCTGATCTCTGTTATGTTGGGCATTTATGGGAGCTTACTGTGCACTGATTTCCTGTTTTATTCCGTGCATAAGAAGGGGGTCTACACTTCATTGGTTGTGAAACACTCTGGAACATCCTGAGGCACTGGAAGGCGCTATATAAATGGAAGTGTTTGTTTCACTGCTAGTGGGTTTATCAGTTGGCATCACCTTTGGCAGTGACTTCTGGCACTAAACGATGAAACAGCGAAGGGCAAAGACGCATCAAAACGATGAGTTTGATTTTTGTTGTGTTTGTTGCCAGCGGATTTATGGGATGGATTTGCGGAGTGCGGCCAAGCTGAAGGAAAAGGGGAAACTGCACCTGTCCCTGTCCAGACAGTTTGACGGGACTTCAGTGTCGAGCCTGGGCCAGCGGGAACATGGGGAAAACGGGAAACGGATCCAGTTTTCCCTCAGCCGGAAGCACAAGTTTTTCAAGCTGGCCAAGCCTGGCTGTGCTCAAGAGCCCAGTGAGATCGCAGAGAGGCACAGGGCTAGTGAGTGCTCCGAGGATGATACTGGCAGGGAGCTGAGTGAAAAATTCGCGGATTCAGAATTCGAGGATGAGTTGCAGAGTGAGAGCTGTCCTGAGGCGACCGAAGGTGAGTGAGAGACTGTGGGGCACAAAGCCCTCGCTCGGTCCGTCTCTCATCGCTGGTTTCCTGTTGCGAAAGGCGCCATGTAAATGCAGTTTCTCTGTCTGAACAGTCCGCCCTCTAGGTTTCTCTTAACCCTTCTCCACCCCTCTGCCCGTGCTCTCGGTTTCATGGTGATGCCAATTGCTGAGGCTCTTGTTCACAGTTAACTCTCAGGAAATCTCCCTCCATGTCTCGAGGGGAGTGTCCCATCCCCATTAAGCCCCGTCTTAAGTTATCTCTCCCACACTCCCCAATTTCACTAAGTGTATGGAATCTAAAATCCTCCCCAACAGATTCCTGCCCCCAACACTCATGGAGCCAAATCCACACTGGTTTCCCCCCCTCCCACGACACACACACACACACACACTTTCCCTTATAGACCCCTCTCTCCCATTTCCCTCTCCCTCCCTCTTTCCCTCATCCTAGCGCACTCCCACTCCTTTCCCTCACACAGGAAGGTGATGGCCTAGTGGTATTATCGCTGGGTTGTTATTCCAGAGACCCAGGGAATGTACTGGGAACCTGGGTTTGAATCCTGCCTTGACAGATGATGGAACTTGAATTTAATAAAAATCTGGAATTAAGAATCTAGTGATGACCATGAATCCAGTGTCAACTGTTGGAAAAACCCATCTGGTTCACTAATGTCCTTTAGGGAAGGAAACTGTCATCCTTACCTGGTCTGGCCAACATGTGACTCCAGACCCACAGCAATGTGGTTGACTCTTAACTGCCCTCTGGGCAATTAGGGATGGGCAATAAATGCTGGCCTGGCCAGTGACGCCCTCTTCTGACAGGGGAATACAAGACACTGTTTCTCTTCCTCTCCCTCTCACTCTCCTCATCCCACCCGTCAGAGGGAAGAAGGGGACCCCTTCCTCTCTGGGGGAGGGGATTGGTGGTGCAGGGGTGGGGCAGGGTTAGGATTTGTGTTGGGGTTGGGGATGGATGCGGAGCTCCCTGGAGCTGGGAGAGTCTGACGCTGATGGGCCGAATGGCTGGGATTTAATCCTCTGCCTCTCTCTTCCGTCTTGTCTGCAGGCTCCGCCTCTCCCGTCCAGACAACCGGCTCGATTCCCACCGGCTGGCATCCTTCCGTTCCCCTCGGCAACATCACGGTAACCGATGTCACGGCAAACTCCCTGACAGTGACCTTTCGGGAAGGCCAGGCCGCTGAGGGATTCTTTAGGGACCGGAGTCTGAGCTGCTGAAAACAAACAGATTTACATCCGTCCTGTCAAACATTTTGTTCATTTTTCCTAAAAGAGAAACAAGGTTCCATATTTATAAATACTGAGTGTACGTATTTACCATAGGAATGGTTAGGGTCTGCAGGGTATCCCACAGGGGTTAGGTACCTCTTCAGAATAGGAGAGGTGAATGTGAAGGAGTGAGTGTGGAGGAGGAGGAGGAGGAGGGAGTGAGAGAGGACAGGGAGGAATGAGAAGCCATGTAGGGAGAGCAGGGGAGGGATGTTTGGAGAGAGAGAGGTACAGGAGGGTCTGGAGAGGGAGGAAGGGTGTGGGGTTCGCCGGGCTGGGCAGTAAGTGGGAGATACTGAGGAGACGGAGGATTGGGAGATGGATGAGGGTGTGGGGAGGGAGGGAAGCAGAGTTGGGAGAGCAGGAAGGGTGTACACTGGGAATTCAGCTAAAGGGTTTCAGCTTTGCTGTGATGTGGCTGTTGTGAACCTGCCCATTCTGGTCTCTTAGCTTGTTGTCACAGAGAGGGCTGTGTTATGGCCAGGCAGTGAAAATGTGAACCTGTCTGACCTGGGATTCTCCAGGGTCTCACATGGTCTGGGACTGGGACTGGGTCTGACCAGGGTCTAGCACAGTCTGGGACTGGAACTGGGACAGGGTCTGACCAGGGTCTAGCACAGTCTGGGACTGGGACAGGTCTGACCAGGGTCTAGCACAGTCTGGACTCGGTCTGACCAGGGTCTAGCACCATCTGGGACAGGGTCTGACCAGGGTCTAGCACAGTCTGGGACAGGGTCTGACCAGGGTCTAGCACAGTCTGGGAC